GGCCGTAGCCCTCCTTCTGGTGGCCGCGGAGGCGCAGGTCGGGCGCGCACTCGCCGTTCGGGTCCGGCTTTGACGGGTGTTTCGTGTAGTCGAAGATGAGTACATCGCTCGACGGGGTTTTGGTGGCGATAATGCACGGGTTTTGGGGCATAAAGCGGGCCCTATTCACCTCTCCCTCGTGGTTGATCTTGATCTCGATTTCAATCTTGCCTATAATTACGGGTAAACAATAGCAATCATACGGTTAGTGTCCGTAAAGTGTACACAAAAACAGAAGTTCACTAAAAACTAATTCAATCGCAACAAAACAAACAGCAATTGAATGTCAAGTGTTTGAGCGAAAAGTGACATAAAGTGAGGACATGTGTGGACTCGTCTCCACTACTACTGACCGGAAACGGATCCAAAGCCGCCGAACTCGCCCTTCTCTGAGTCGTAATGGGAGGCGTCAAACATGGCGTCTTCGTTGGGCAACTGTACGGATGCGATGAGCAGATGGTTTTGCTCGTCGCTGGTATGGGTGCCCAGAATGAGGCGGTGTATGGAGTAGTCCTTGCCTTCGGGCCGCACCACGTCTGGCAACCACTGGGCGGTCAGCGACGGCCACTCCAGCGCGTGTGTCATCACCAGATCGTACAGGAATGGCGTGTTCTTCTTCCATATCTTGTACTCTTCGTTAATCACTCGCTCTTCCACTGCGGGACCCGAAGACGTGGAGGAATAGACAGACAGACAATCGTTAAACATTCAATGATATCGGCGATGGTATGGGCAGTGAGTTTGTTGAGTAATGCCATTGTGTATCACACAACTGATCCCACGGATTGGCGGCTCAGACACAGAGGGCGTATCAATTAGCGTATAGTGTGGTGTAAATCAGCTGATAATACACTGACAGACACTCGGAGGAAGTGGTAATGCTATGGATAATCACAATAATGGCTAATAAAGTCTATGGGAAGGCCGGCGCCCGGTGTTTGGCCGCTAATACAGGGATCAATTGGCGATGGCATGGAGTGGTGAGCGCAGTCATCACTTACCGGCGTCTTTGTCTGCCATATCGGTTGGTCTTCGGCTCTAATCGGCGGTTATTTGCGGACAAAATGAGTGAAAAGACTGAATGAATGAATGGATGTATTGTTGTATTGGTTTGTATTGTAGAGAAAAGCCGCGAATCAATGCCTTTTCAATGGCGCTCATTAACAGCACTCAACGCCTGCACTGACACAACACTCACACCTATGCCTGACATCTGGTGACCATTGTTTCAGTGCAAGCAATGCATTGTCTGAGGCATACAGTGTTGAAATGTACAGTAAATCAATTACATTGTACATTGTAGTCAATTAGTAAATGTTCTAGTTCAATTTATGGTTTTAATTGCTGTATTAGTTATATATTACTTGTGTTAATGATGTTAGTTTATAGATTATCCTTATTATTGAGTTATTTTGACAATATATAATGAAACTCAAATTTCTCTCTCTCTCTCTCTCTCTCTCTCTCTCTCTCTCTCTCT